CCTTGTGCTGCCCACCAAAAACTCCTTTCAGACAGGAGGATGGGGTGAGTATGTGAAGAAATTACTTTCCCTATAAATTCATTGTGAGCTCAGGCTGCACACATCACATACAGTAAAGCTATTAATAAAGGAAAGAGAGATGTCTCCCTGCTGGGGCCCACAGAGAATGGTGAAGTGAGAAGGGGCTGAGAGTGTATTAGTCTCTGAGTAAGTGCCCTTCACTCTTGCCTCAGTTTTCTTTCTCCAAGTCAGGTGGGAGAGCCATTTACTGTTTGCTTTGCCTGCGGATGGAGGCCCATAGGGAAAGCTAAAAAGCCACAGGGATCTCTTGCTTCTAGAAGCTTGCCTCTTGGGTGAGATCTACATGTGATTAATTTAAACATTCCTAATATAGACTCCTGGAGAGGGGCCAGTGCTTGAGCATTACATTCTGAAGGTCCTCAGAAGCTCACAGAACTGAAGGCAGCCTTGAATCTACTGGGCTTTAGGTGACAGGTACTGGTACCATGGTCCTCTCTTTACCCCAGGGGGGGGTTTTCATAGAAATATTAACATGGAGGGAGCATGAAAAAGGGCAGTGTAAGGGGGTAGGTATGCGATGCCCACTGATGTGACAGCTACCATGGCTTCCCAAGAGCAAAATGGTCAAACAAGCTCACAGATGTTACAGGATTCTCCAGCTCAGAAAGCGTAGTGAGTGGGTGTGTCTCAGAGTCAAGTCCCACGGTCTACAAACGCATAGGACCACGATAAACAACTGGGTTATGCTCTCCATGGGAAAAGAGTGAGTCAGCAGAAAAGACATGGCCAAGCGAAATGGCAGAGAAAAGTTTCAAAGGAAGACATTTTCAGATCTTACGCCATCCAACTCTGTAGAAGCTAGCCAGAGAAATGAACTACCTCCTCCAAAAGTAGCTGAGAGTAGGAGCTCAAAGGGACTTCTTCTTAGGCACCTGTCAAAACCCCTACTCTGCTGTGACAGAGTGCTCACCAAGCACTATTCCAGAGACCTCTGGATCACTGGAGGCCAGAAAACCTTAAAAAGCACATGAAGACTTATAGAGGAACACCCTCCCCTCACCTCTACCTTCTACAGACTTCAAAAGTGCACAGCAGTCTAGTAGTTAACCCCCTAGGTGAGATCTCTCTCCCAGAGACGCCTTTGGGTAGATGCATGCCAAGGTTCCTCTCAAGCATTTTTCTTGAACATGAGTGGGAAGAGGAAAGGGCAGATTCCAGACAGATTGCACATGTCAGCCAGTTATTCTATCTGCCACAAAGCGTCACTACCCAGCCACATAGTTTTCCCCAGTGTCTTATCCTACCCTTCCCCAGTGAGGCGGTAGAGAAACACATTCACCACGGTCCAAGAAGGGAGCCCCATATGCTAGTCACTAGAGCGTCAGATCAAGGGCCCTCGGCTCTGGCTGTCTATCAGACTCTCCTGGGGAAGTCTCTAAGAAGCCAACATAGTAAGACACTATCCCACACTTCCTGAGGGAACTATCAAGTGATGGGATCCACAAGGCTGGGTTTAGAGCGAGCTCTCAGCAGATGCTCACAGCAGCTAAACTGAGCAACTACTAGGACTTCACTGAGGTTCTAGAGCATGGAGACGGTCCCAGGGAAACATGATAAACTTTGCCATGGCTACAAAGCCATAGGTGTCAGCCTTTGAGTCTCATGGGACCATTGGATTGTGCTGGCTAGTTTTACGCCAACTAGACACAAGTGAGAATCATTTGGAAAGAAGGAGCCTCAACTGAGAACACACCCCCACCAGACTGGCCCAGGGGCAAGGCATCATTTTTGATTGATGATTGATATAGGAGGGCTCAGCTCATTGTGGGTGGAGCTACTCCTAAACTGGTGATTCTGGGTGCTATAATAGAACAAGTTGAGCAAGCCATGAGGAATCAGTCAGTGAGAAGCTCTCTTCCATGGCCTCTCTTCCTGCCCCCAGATTTCTGCCTTGAGTTCTGCCCTCTGCCCTGACGTACCCAGATGATGAGCTACAGCTATAAGATGTAATAAACCCTTTCTTCCTGTCTTAGTTGAGGGTTACTATTGCTGTGAAGAGACACCATGACCATGGCAACTCTTATAAGGAAAGCATTTCATCGAGGGGCTTGATTACAGTCCCAGAGGTCCAGTCTATCCTGGCAGGGAGCATGGTAGCATGCAGGCAGGCATGGTGCTGGAAAAATAGCCAAGTGTCCTAACTCTTGTAAGCAATAGGAAGTCAACTGACTGTCACAATGAGGGAAGCTTGAGAAAAGATCTCAAAGCCCACCCCACAACGATACAATTCCAATAAAAGGTGTGGTCCAGATTAAAGGCCTCAAGGTCTGAATTAAATACATGTCATCCGGCCTTCTCCAACAAGACCATGCTTTCTCTAACAAGCCCACACCTCCTAATAGTGCCACTCCTCTCCCTATGAGCTTATAGGGCCAAATACATTCAAACTACCACACTCCCCAAGTTGCTTTGGTCATGGTGTTTTTAATCACAGTAATAGGATCCCTTTCTAGGATAGCACTCACCTTCTCTACTTCTGTCTCCTACAGTCTTTGCCTCTGTGTAGTTTCTGGAGGTACT